GGGAATGGTCTTCCTAAGCAAAGATTCAAAAGATGAACTGTGCAACACTGTGAGAGGAAATAGAAAGAAAAAGAGCTTCAGGGGCTAACAGACCTAAATTTATGTCCATGGCTGACTGTGAGTTCTCCCTTGAAATAGTTCTACATGCTGAAGAAGGGAGAAGGATATTTATTTCAGAGAAGACAATGACTCATATGTTAAGAGTGGTGCAAATAAAGTGCCCAAGGATCGATTAAATTGATTTGATAAAGGTGCAATGTTTTTAGAAAAATCTTGAGGCTCACAAATGACAAAAATTTAAAAGAGAACAAATTTTGCAAAAAAGTGAATTTAAATCTGTGCGACTACATCCCCTATACAACTCTTTTTTGGACCTCAGTAGCAGGAGCTGATGGGAATGACTAAATAACATTCAAAAAGGAGACTTCATCTAAGGAGGGTTCTACCTCACCTCGCAGAGATTAGAACTTGGTTTATTTTTAAGGAAAGGCATAAAAGGAGTAGCTGTCATATGCAGCTGTACTTCTTATTAAAATCAACTGCATTTGTTAAGCAGGCATACGGAGTGTTATTGATTTTTTAATATTGAATAAAGTGTCCAAAGTTAGTTTCTTGGCTAGCAGCCTGCCCAGTTAACAAAGTGCTCACCTGGATAATTTAAGAACTAATTTATACAAAATGCCTCAATCTCCAAGGGCACTGAAGGCCATCAGCTTACAACTAAGCATGGAAATCAAAGTTCTCCACAGCCAGGATGCAAGCTGGGACAAAGAAGGGAGTCAATAAATAGCTTAGGAGGAAGCTACCAGAAATCTGTGCTCCTTCTGTAAGCACTGAGGGGGAACAATAAGGCTTAAAGGATGAAAATGTCATGTAATAATCACTTCCCTTCCTCTGGTTCTTCTGTCACAACCATTCATACAATTAGACTGGGAGGTAACACCACAGAGAGCTTTTGGGTTCTGATGCTATCAGATTTTATGGGTGTGAAATTTGCTAATTTTACGGGTATGCCAAATACTAACTTCTTCCAGAAGATTCATCATCTTGTTTAAGACAGGTAAAATGTATACGAGAGTAATTTTCCACTCCTGAATCCTTTCATTATTTACTTAATATATACTGAGAAGCCTATTGTGAAGTCTCTTCTCGTTCACTGCAGTCTAGTATTGAACAGAGAGGGGAAATATCACTCATACAAGAGCACTGCGTATTTCCCCTTATCCTTGTTGCAGAGAAACTCCTGAAGAATTTCCAAACGAGGATGAGTGAAGAGGGTTCTTTATCTACAGCTTGGGCAGTTAGCAGCTCTGTTCTTCAATTGAAGCTGAAGCCAGCAGCTGCTCACTTCCCTGCCATTAGGCGCCGACACGTTACCTTTGAAACAATAAACAGTTGTCGGTGTTTGAGTTCTTGCCACCAGCACCTCCCAAAAAACAGCTGTCCGCGGTACCCAGCGCCCCAGCGGGCGAGCCTCTGGGCGCTCAGGTTGGCTGTGCCCAGGTGTCAGCCTTTCTAAAAGCTGCGGCAGCGTTTCTGCCCCCTCGGAGAAAAGAGACGGGCTCGTCTGCAGGAACAGAGAGTGTTTGTGCCCGTGTGAAAGGGAGGAGAGCCGGGCACAGTCCGATACCTGTTGGCAGCGCCGTTCAGCGCCAGCTCGGATCGATTCCGCTCTGTTTCGGCCGCTACGAAACG